GAATACTGATTTTCTCCTATATGAGCAGCTACAGAAATAGTGAATTTGTTCGGCTAACTTTCATCATAGAAGTCATATTGAGTAATTAGTTCAGTGCCAAACATATATATTGTCATTTTTAGAAAAATATTTTGTCGCGCCACGCTTTGAACTTAGAGGCTCAGAAGAAAATAGGGAAAGAAAGAGGGAGCCAAAGGATTGAACCTATAGGCTTTGAAAATGGAGAAATTGTGGGACAAAGCAAAACGATTACTTGGAAGGAAGTAGTCTCTAGACAAAATGCAAACGGAAAGAAGAATGCTCAACATCTTGCGCCTACCAGATAATCGAAGAAAACTTTGTAATTTCTCTATCCGGTGATGATGAATCTGATGATTCACTAGACTTTCTGATGAAGAGTCTCCGATTGAAAAAATCGAATAGAATTTTCAAAGAGATTACAAAGGCGACTTTAGGAAATTGTTTGAAAAACCATTCAAAAAGGAAAAGATTTCAAAAGAAAATATGTATCAAATTTGAAAAATGGTGCATTCTCAAAATCTTTTACTACTGCTAGCAAACATTGCAAGAGATGGAGGCGAAATTTGGAAAAAGATAAAAATTTATTTCTGGATATTAGCGCTAATATAAATTTTTACACCACAGAACTATGGAGAAACTAGATAAAATACTTACACCAAAGAACTATGGAAAAACTAGATCAAATACCCACAAGGACAAGAAGTTGATACCATGAATTGTGGCATAAAATTAACATGATTTGCTATCAATGTTCCTGTTAAAATTGGAGATAAAGTGATTTTGGTAAATTTTGTCAATATTAAGGATGAAGGATATCAAGCAAGAATAGACTCTGTGACTCTAGATGAAATAAGCCCTTACATAGTATCAAGAGACCTGGTAATTTTTACTACAAAAGGAGAAAAGGAAATTGTACCTCGAATTCCACCAACTTTCAAAATGAGGACAAACAAAATTTAAAACAATCCTTCATTATCATCATTTTAGCCTTTTTCCAATTAATTGGGGTCGGCTACATGAATATTGGTTCTCTATTCTGCTCTATTAAAGGCCACATCCTCAGTGAGACCATAAGTCCCCATATCTTTTCGGACTACTTCCAACAACGTCCTTTTGGGCCTACCCCTTGCCCTTTTCAGACCTTCCACTTGAACTAACTCGCAACACCTAACAAGTGATGTACTTGGTCGACGCCACACCTGGCCAGCTCATCACGTCTACTCTCTCTCATTTTATCGCCTATTGGTGCCACGTTTAAAATTCAAAATAATCCTTCTATAATAAAAATTATGAAAGATATTCAAAAATTGGAAAAAGAACATGAAAAATATGAATTTATCAAACAAATAAAGGGTATGAGCTTAGAGGCCAGTTCAAAATTGCTTGATATAAGAGAAATTACAGAAATCCTCAAAAAATGTTGTGTTGAGCAGCGCTTGGAGAATTGGGAGAAAGATTTACCCCAAGCCCATATACCAACTCTCCATAACATTCCAGTTCAAAGTAAACCTATGAGGTGCAACAAAGAGGATGAAGAAGAGTTGAAAACTCAGATAAAAGAATTGGAAGAGAAGGGGTTAGGCCATCTCAATCAAATTATTCATATGCAAGTTTCATTGTGAGAAATCATTTAAAATAAGAGGCAAGACCAGAATGGCAATTAAATATATTCCTCTGAATCAGAAAACAATAGATATTAGATGGCCATTACTCTACAAGGAAGAGCTGATATAAAGAATCACTAAAAAAAGGATTTTCTCACAAGATACCGTCAAGTGCACAAAAAAAAAATTGATAAGGTTACATAGGAATGGAACTTGAGACGTTGTGCTAAGAAAACCCAGCTTCTACCATCTTGACCAAGTCTGAATCCTTACCATCAAGTCAAAATTGAAGAAGAAGACATTCATAAAATAGCTTTTTCTACCCCTGAAGGATTATACAAAATCGCTAGTAATGCCCCTCGGACTAAAAAATGCTCCCTCACAATTTCAGAGGAGGATGGATTCAATATTCGAAGGATGGATTCAATATTCAAACCATCTCAAATTTTGTTGCCAACTATATAGATGATTTGTTGTCTTTTCTAATAGTATGCAAGAACATTTGGAGCATCTCAACATATTTGCATAAATTGTCCAAAAACATGGAATAGGCCTCTCTTCTTCAAAAGACAAGTTTCAAATTGCTAAAGAATCAGTTGATTTTCTTAGTGTACATGTCTCCAAAAGTCAAATACAAAAGCAACCCCATGTTATCCAAAAGATTGAAAATTTTCCAGACAAGTTGCAAGATAAATTACAACGCCAGAAGTTTCTTGGTTGTTTCAATTATGTTCGAGACTTTATTCCCAAGATTTCTGAGAAAACCAAGAAAAATAGAAAAGCTATGAAAGAAGAACCATTCTGATGGACCGAAGAAGCTACTCAAGAAGTAAGACAGCTCAAAGCAGAAGCACAAACCCTGCCCCTCTAGCACCTCTATATGGCGGTTCGTTTATATCTTCTACCGATGCATCTTCTGATACCTCGGCAATTGTCATACTTAAAAAGGAAAATAAGGAAGAGAAAATATGTGTTTACACTAGCAACCAATTTAAGAAGAATGAGCTGAACTATTAGCCTGAAGAAAAGGAAATTTTGAGTGCAGTAAGAGGAGTCGAAAAGTTTCACATCAGTTTGATAGGAGAAACCTTTATCCTTAATACTGACTTCTCAAATTTGGTCAATGTAATGAAAAAGAAAATTACTCGCACTCCAAAATTACAGAGGTATGCATGGTGACAATTCATCTTTTTTCAATATAATTTTTCAATTGAGGAAGTCCCAGGAACAGAACAATATCTTCCAAATGCCCACACGAAAGAAATAAAGATGATAAGAACAATTCAAAAAGATGAGTGGCTAACGTGGCCTCTAGAAACCCCAGAAGAAATACAAAAATTCTGCCCAAAAAAACAGTTATTTTTCTCCTGAACTTGAGATTATTGATTCAGCAGCAGGGTCTTACCTTAACATAGATTGTTTCCTCACTTTTGCTGGAAGAATCAGTATAGTTATAAACAAATGTAGGTGAACACCCTTAGAACCTGAATTAATTGCCTGGACTATTAAAAAGGAAGCCTTGGATGATTTGATAACTTTTAGAAGACAATTATATCCTAATCATATTGCCAGAGATTTCGTGACAAAATTATTAGGATATACAAATTGGGAAAGGATTTATGCAAATATTTCCAAAGGATCAATTTCACTGAGCAAGGATTTATTTGGAGATATAAAGATGAATTATTTTACAAACATGAAGCATCTAGCATAAGGGCACCTACAGCAATACAGTTATTAGACCGCTTCTATAAAAATATTTAAAAATGCTATAGTTGCCAAATTAGAGAACATTTATGTACAATACATCATGGAGAATATTGTAGAATCATCAATTCTAAAGATGAAGCGTAAAAATCCAGAATAAAAGCAGCCCATGGTTTTCTTCGTGGTATTACTTTAAGAGAGTGGTTATGGTTTTCTTAGTGGTATTACTTTAAGAGAGTGGTTATGGTTTTCTTAGTGGTATTACTTTAAGAAAGTCGTTTTACTTTTCACAAATAGTTTTAAACACTCAAGGTACTATTTGCTTCTACTTTTTGAGAGGATGTAAGAATGAGTGACAAGTACATGTATCACTATGTGGTTTTTTTTTTTAGGGTGGTATTACTTGCTGCCCATCGTTTTAGCCTATTGTTTTGTAAACCACTGTGTGGTATTCTGGACTACTTTTTACTTTGCTTTGGCTATAAATATGTATCATTTTTTCATTGAATGAGATAAAAGTGAAGTTGTGTTTGCTAGTGCAAAACAAATTGGATAACCAAGTCCGGTAAGTTCATCGTGCTCCAATAGTTCTTTGGTAAACGCGTCCAACCCTAATCCTGGGCGAAACTTGGGATATCGAAGCTCTTTTCTATTGCAAGCGTAATATCAGTTAGGGACACCGTAAGGTGTTGTTAACTATTTCGGTAGCTTATCTACCTGAGAAGGCCAACAAATCGCGGCCCTTGAAATGATATCTTAGCAAACTGTTGGCAATTGAGCACAGTAGTCATCCCCTTTTGTCTATCTTCCTATTTAATTACTTTCTACCTCTTCTGTTGTCTATTGCTTCATCTAAGAAACCGCAAAATGGTTTTGACTCTCTTTCCCAAATTCTTCTAATTATGTTCATTAAGGAGTGTTAATTAAGGATTAAGGGCTATCCAATCCTTTGCTCTCTCTCCTTTCTCTTATTAATTTCTGCCACTCTACTCTCTTTCTAACTCACTCTCGCCTCTCTAAGCCCTTCTAAACCCCTCTCCCTCTTTCTGGTATATAAAACCCAGACCAGTCAAAAATAACCCTCAAAAATATCTCTTTCCCTTTCCATCGTTTCCCACAGTATGGAAGATACTTAAGTGAACCTTGGACCAAGAGGACGCTTCATTGCTCATGCACAGTAGTGCTTTTTGTAGTAAAAGCTATCTAGCTATCAAGCTATCTATATGTCATCAATCACAAGAATATCGATCCTGGACATTGCAATATAGATGCACTGAAGAAGAAAAGGTAGTTAAGAACCAAACCATCGCAAGCACAATTATTTCAATCATCCATCCAATCAGTTAAAAAAAAGGCAATGGTCTACCATTACAATAAAGTCAATGACTAACTGAGACAATCATGGAGTGGCATTCGCTCATTAAAGAGTCTTGCTCATCCATTTGTCTGAAGAAATTTCCAGCACTCAAAAGGAAGTCAATTATCTAAATGAAGTAGCCATAACAAGTGGAAGCCAATGCTGGAAATCTAAAATGAAGTACACATAGCAAGTGAGAGCCAATATTCGAATCAATAGATCATCTAAATTAAGAGTAAAAGGGGTATTATGGCAAGCAAGAAAGCAGTGGGATCGAGTTTAGTTTGGTTCAGTAAAAAGATGAAACTGACCTGAATATAAAACAGCCATCAAGCATAAAAATGGCCCAAGAAGCAGAGGCACCATCATCTCCTCCTTTTCGTAGCACAACAACCTGACCAAGTCGCGACCTCTCGCCCTCTTCCCACATGGGCAGGATCTCCCTCCATTGCCCGCTCTCCAAACCAAGCACCGCCCCATCCCTATAATAATCATCCACTGGAAACACCCCCGATACAGTGCGGTACAATCCATAACCCCCCATCACCCAAAAGTCATCGCCCAAAACAAAGCCCGTGCAACCTGCCCTGACTTCAGGAAGCCCCTTCTCGGCCTCCCAAACATCACTCCTTGAATCATACCTCTCAACAGCACTCACCCTGCTCCCACCAACCCCAAACTGGGCGTGGCGGGAGCCACCCCCAGCCACCACAATGGTGGACCCGCCGCAGGCACCGCACGCAAAGCTCCCACGGGGAGTGAGCATCGGGGACCGTGGGGCCCACGAGAGACGCACGAGGTCGTAGCAGAAGACAGCCGAGGAGGGAGTGGGGCGGTCCATGGGAAAGGTCCTGGCATCAAAGAGGGAGCCCCCGAGGACGTAGACAGTAGGACCGAGGGCCACGCACCCAAAGTTGGAGAGGCCGTAACGCGAAGGGTCACAGGGCATGGGGTGGATGGGGGACCACACGCATCTCCTTGGGTCGAAGAGGCCACCAGGGCTCAGCGACGGGTCCTCTGGGAAGACGCAGAGGAGGTCCTCCCCCTTCCCCCATTGGGAGCGGATATCAAAGAGGGATCTGGAGGAGAGGGCCGACCGCCACGACCTGGAAACGCATTTCAGGCGCGCATGGTGGGAGAAGGGCAAGCATGCCAGGCACAGACGCGCCACGTCGTTGGGGAGGCCCGGGATAATTAGGGTTTGCTTCTCCTCCTCTCCATCTCCTCCTCCTCCTCCACCTCCACCTCCCTTTTCTTGCTGCTGCTCTTGTTGCATCTCTTTTTCTCCCCCTTCTTTACGATCCATCTAAACCACGATCAATCGAATTGTTGAGAGAGAAACATAGGAGGAGGTGTTTCAGAGAGAAGTGGAAGAATATGAAGGGATCAACCTCTTCTGTGCTTTTGGAGGTGAGTGAGAGTGAACAGGCGCCGTGTCATCGCTCCTTTCTTGGAGCGGGTTCCGCGTGATAGTGCGCGGATAAGTGACCAACTCTTGGATGCCTTATTTCCCTCCGTCGTCGAATGCTGCGTGGCTTGACCTTTCAAAAGGCCCTTTTTCCATCTCCGCTCTAGTTTTGGGTTTACTACAAGGGATGAGACCCTCCTACGTCCATAGTGATGTCCATTCAATTTATCAAAGATTTATAAAAAAATCGAGTTCTACATTTTTGTGATAACGTCTTTTTAGAGATCTATATTTTTGTAATCATTATTTTAAAAAAAAAAAATTTATATTTATATGAAAATTTTTTTAGAGATTTGTGCCAAATTTAATGATGATCTACTAAAATTCTAGATCCATAGATGTAGGAGGGTCTTAAGATCATTACTCTTAGTATTATCACTTTGGCTTTGTGAGTAGGATGAAGATTTTTTGTTTTTTTAATATAGAAAAAAAATTATATATTTATCATCATTACGCAAATGCCTCTTTAAGTTTTTGTTATTTATATATATGTGTGTGCTTTTACCATTGGAACGATTTTTTAAAAAAAAATGTTACTAATTATTTTCAATTTTAAATTAAATATTTGAAAAAACTAATATTCTCTCTCACTCACTACTTCCATCATTCTCTCATTCTCTTATTTGATATGCACATCTTGTTCTCTCTCTTTCACACACACTACTTACATCATCTTTAGTTGGAGGAATGAAACCTCAGCTCTCAGTTTTCAAGGGAGAAATGGCCTCTCAGTTTCCAACCAATCCGTCGAAGAGAGGCCCACACCCTAGTTTCATGCCCCATGAATTCGTCTATTAAAAAGCTTTCAGCTTCTGCGAAGCCTTTTCCATGCGATGAAGATTTCCATTTCGACGATAACTTCAAGGAATTCAAGAAACCAGTTAGAGAGATATACCAAAAATCTGTCTCTCATGAAAGATATCAGTGCTTCGAAGAATCTGTGGAATAGGTTTTTGATGTTGCCTAGTGATCCTCATATGAGATACGACTGGCTTGTAGATACCCATGATGAAATATTTGAGAGAATCGTCGTTTCAGCTGATGAGTTCAAAAATTGCAGAAGAAAGATGGGAAAATGGCTAGTGGTTTGAGGATTTTGAAGATGGATTTCAACTCGTTTATGGAAAGAAGAACAAAAAGGGGAATAAAATAGCAGAAGGAAGAGGAAGTACGGCTTCTCATTCTTCTCTAGTTTATAATGGTGCGAAGATTGCTTCTAGAACAACAAAGCTTCAAAGGGGTGTTCTCAGGCTCCATTTCAAAGAGAGAGGAACACAAAATTTGGATTTTTGAAAAACTAAAAATGGCTATCTTTTTTTTAAAAAAAAAATAGTTAGGATGGTGAAAAAACGGATATATGTAATAATAGAAACTCGAAAGTATTTTCGTAATAGCACTAAATATAATAAATATATTCATAATTTTCTCAAGAAAAAATGGAGTTTGAACGTAAATAAAATATGAAGGAATTTTGTAATAATGGTAATTTATGGGTCTTCAGGCTTGGTATTTGCAAAAATTGATTGTACATCAAATCTTCGGTATACAAATTTCATATCTATAAAACACAGTTTCATAAACAATGCCCTAGCTTTTAGATTAACATGGTCGATGACAAATCTCCTGTTTGGCTTATCTATATGTAAAACCAGGTTTTGATAGTAAAATAATTTTTTATTAAAATATAATAATGCTAATATTATTTATGTTAAATATTATTACATAGAAAATAATAGAAAATATAAATAATATAATTATATATTAAGATGATAATTATATAATATAATATTATTTCATTAGTATTAATATAATATTATAATATAATTATATTATAATAATATCATTATAAATGGTTTAATAAAATAAAACTAATATTATTGATGCTAACGATATTTCATAGAAAATAATAATAGTAAAAATAAATATAAATAATATAATTGCATATTAATATGATAATTATTGATGATATTTCATAGTAAATATTATAAATAATAATACATATAAATACTATACTGAATAATATCATAATTAAATTATCACAATTCAATAATAAATATTTTAAATACTAATAATAGTGAGTAGCAATGCTAATCATAATAATAATACTAATAACATTATTAATAACAGTAATAACACTAATAATCTAATAAGAATAGTGAGAATAATAACAATAATGATAATAATAATAATAATAATAATAATAATAGTAATACAAAAAAATATTATAATTATATAATAATATCATAATATAAGAATTATATATCGAAAAATTTTATATAAGGTTGCAACCTTAAAATCATCTCCACATCGAGATGTATAAATATGAAGAAAAAAAAGAAAAGATTTGAGTCCCAAAAATAGTGCATCTTGTAATACATTATCTAAACCATCCATTTTCAAGATTTTCTTATGTTTATAGATCTACTTGATTTTAACCATTTTTGAAGTTTAAACTTTTATAATTAGATATGAAAATAGATTTTGAGATACTCCTAAAAATTTTCTTCATCAAAATTACATGTTATGATAAAATTGGAGGTGCGCCTTAATTGGATTGTTTAAGGTTGCAACGTTATAGCAACCACACCCATTATATAATAATTTACTTTTTATTACATAATATTTTATATTCGTAAATGTTATAATAAAGTATACATATTTTAATATTCATAAATGTTATAATAAAGTATACAATATTTTAGTATTCACATAATATGATATTGATATATTATGCTAAAGGCCTAAAACATAATATTATAATATAAAAATATAATGACATTATATGTTATGACTATAGTATAATTATATTATATTATAGTAGTACTAGTTTCTCTCTCACACACACACATCACCATGCCTCCCTCTCCCTCTTTATTTAACAGCATTGACG